CAAAAGCTTATGTCTTATTTAATCTCGCTTGACTCAAAGCAACGGCTCGACGGAGGCGTTACTTGTAATTTTTTCCACACTACAAGTTGTGCTAATGACACCTAAATATTCTAAGTGAAATGTCACTTAACTCGGCCGTGTTGAAAGGCGGATGATGTCTGAATTTGCATAAATCATTTGCTGTAATATGTTACCAATTCTTTTTTTATGGCTAGAATGTTACTTCAACCTATTTTGTACGTTTGCATACGAATATTTTAAACGTTTTCAGGATTTCCTTACATTTTGGTATATTTTTCATTATACATATTATGAATAGTGAATACTGTCAACGTCTAAAATTTTACTGAATTATTTATCTGTGTCTAAAATGTAGAGTAATAATATACTCTTATCTATACTAATATTATAAAAGGTAAATCTTATGAGTTTGTGACGTTGTAGGGGGTTATCTTTGGATCTACTAAACCGATTTAGATGAAATTTGGTAAGTAGATAGTTTGAGACCTTGGGAAGGACATAGAATACTTTTTATCCCGGAAATCATCCCTCGAGGGTGTGAAAATGGGGATGAAAGTTTGTATGAGGAATCGAGCCAGGGACGAACCCGAGCGAAGTTGTTAATAATTTTTTCTTGCAACTTTGCACGGGTGTGTCACAATTCTTTCTTAGGTTGATATCGGTAACCATTATATATTATATTATATATCGTAGTATTTTAGGTGCTATCTTCTTTATATAAAGAATGTATATTAAAGTAGGGCCTCAATAATAATTAATCAAGAGATTCCGCAGGGAAGGATAGATGCCCATTAGAATAGGATTTTATTTGGTTGGAAGTTCGTATGAAATTATAATTTTTAAAGTGACCAAAATTGAAAATAATTTTTCTAATTAACAATTCTTATTCAAAGTTTTAGGTAGTATTTCCCCTAGGAAAGAAAAGTAGGGGATGATGTGTATTCAGCCCTTTTTTTTTTCACGTCCCACTGCTGGGCACGGGCCTCCCTTCAGTACGAGGGGAATCAGGCCATAATCCACCACGCTGGCCAAGTGCGGGTTGGCGGACTTCACATGTCTTTCGAAAACTTGTTAGGTTCTCTCAGACATGCAGGTTTCCTCACGATGTTTTCCTTCACCGTAAGGCAAGTGGTAATCATGTTAGAAATGATTCGCACATGAAAATATCAGAGGTGCGAGACCCGGGATTTGAACCCGCTTCACTCGGTTTCCCAAGCGAGCGCGTTACCACTGGGCTACCACGGCCACAATGGGGATGATGTGAAAGTTAGGAAACTATACATAAATAAAATATTAAGCAATTATACATAAATAAAATACTCGAGCAAATCCGCGGGGAAATGGTAGTTTTAATAGATTGCTGGAGAAAATAAATTAGAAATAAGATGAGATGCTTGAAAAATGTTTTCCTTTCATACCGCGGACTTACATATACCTCTCGGTTTTCACTGAAGTCGTTTGTATAGTAGACTATAGGCATATAGTCTTTCCAACGCTTTCCAACGCTTTGGCTTCTTTGCCGCTGTAGAGCTTTTGACCTGCTAAGATAACAATCCTCGTGCCGCCTAATAGCTTACACCGAGTGTAACAAAACCAACGGTTAATACTTTCTTAGATGTACGCGAAAATTTGACTACATATACCTACATATAATAAAATTATAACTCAGTCGAATCTGTACAATTAATATTTATTGAAAAAGCTTATTGAAATAGTCATTATTAATGATACAAAGGCCGAATCTATAGGTTTTAGAATTTTTGTCTGTCTGTCTGTGACTGCATCTCGAGAAAACCACTGGACAGATTTTAATGAAATTTGGCATGATGATAGCTAGCTATCCGGGTCAACATATAGGGTACTTTTTATTGCGGGAAAATATCTCATCTCTGTGAAATCTATACTGAACGTTAAAGCGTAACTAGGGACGAAACTGAGCGGAGCGAGGGTGAGTTACTATTTTTAATTAAAATAAAAACCTACAGTTATTTTATAGTTTTACTGAAATTAGGTATTTAGATATAGGTACCTTTACAATTTTTCGATTTATATGAAGTTATTATATTTTACAAATAGTTTATTCACTTACATTTATTTAAACTTGGGGAATAGTAAAAATATCTAAATCGGATCAGTAGTTTGTATGATATGGACTAAAACGTGTAACGGACTGACTTATTGACACGAGCTACGGGTATGGTGTCAAAGGGAAAACATCTCAAAATCATGGTCAAATTTTAGTGCGCATATAAGAAAATCTAAATGGCCGAAACCGAGCTCACGGCCTAACGATTCAAATCCGCTGCGAGAACTAAAAATCAAAATCTCTAAATTTTAATAAAAAAACTATTGCTACTTATTACAAAAACTATTTCAGTTTTACTTAAAACTAAAAAATACGAAATAAAAAAGTAATTTAAAAAAATTTAAACCGACCTCGAAAAAAAAACTTCCAGGCGCTAAAAAGTAAAAAAATAATACTTTCTTAGATTTACGTGAATATTTGACATTATTTGGTTATTGACTTTACGCTTAAAGTTAAATAACTCAAAAAGATAGTTTTATATAAAGAGTGACAAATAACTGAATGGGGGTTTTCATTTTCTATACATACCTACCTAATCAGATATTTTCGAAGTTGGTGCCAGCCGATGTAAAGCAAGGCTAAAATTAGTGATAGTCTAGATCAAAAACAGCTCGTCAGCTGTTAAAAAAATTGTATTGCGTAAAACAGTGTAATCAAGTTATCCTAACACATGCCCATGTAGCACTAGTGTCGACCATCTGCTCGTCGGCCTCCATCAAGCATTACATATTTGCGTGACGACTGTTAGGTACACGTTGTTTAAAGAAACCTTGGTTTCCTATACGGTTTTAAACAAATTAGGTAATATACCAATTGATGAAGTGGGTCAAATTGTGATAAAATACTGTAATTTATAAGCAGAAGCGGGGTGTATGTATGTATGTTCATGTTCTGTCGCCTTTTTCTATTTTTTCTCGTCTGTATTGAGAGTTTTTAGATAGTAACATGCATTGCCGTACTTTGCTTACTGCGACTTTGAACCTAAAACTTTGTTTGCTGATAATATTCAACGTTTGGGAATCGAATCTGCGATCTTCTATAACAATTTAACCGATGTCAGTCAAATATAAAAACATTAATGTGTAGGTACTAATTATGATTGACCATAGGCACTGTCTGAATTAGACGATCTGTCAATTGAAGTAGTCACATTCGGTGCCTTCTAAACTAAACAGTACTCAACTGGCCTAAAATTTGGGCAATCGATTTTCATAATACTTTTTTTATATATTAAATAATTATTTTTGAGTGATTTCTTAATTTGGTTTGCTGGACTGCTTTTCCTATCAGCTGAAAAATATTGGTAACATACAAACTTTCTCTTCTTCACTAGAATCCCGATCTTCTTAAACCCTTTCTTCGAGTTATTGGCCATAGATAGAATAAGCAATTAAAATTGAAATAAATAGGTATAAATTATAGAAATAAGCTATCAAAACTTCAGTTTTACTAGTCTAGACCATGTCGACAAATTTTGCATAACTAATTACTGTCAGTCCACTAAAGCAGCTATAAATAGAACACATGCCACGATAATAATTACTATACTCTATGAAATCCAGTCATATCCTAATTAGACGCGTTGTGCTCTCTGAGTCATTGAATTAAGAGGATCATTTGAAGGCACGTATTGTTTATGAGTTATGCCTAGTACTTCATATTCAGATTCCTCACGAACTTACATACTGACATATAATTTATATTTGAGCTATGGATATTGGAGCTAGAATATGAGCAACACAAAGGTACTTTATTAGTTACTAGCATTACCCGCGACTCCGGATCCTTGATCCGGATAACCACCTATCACCATACCAAATTTCATCAATATCCCTCCAGTGGTTTTTCTGTGATGCGGTAACAGACAGACAGACAGACAAAAATTCAAAAAACTATAGATTCGGCCTCGGTATCGATAATAATGTTTACTTCAATAAGATTTTCTAAAAAATATCTAATGTACAGATTCGGCTTAGTTACAATTTTATTATATGTATAGATATACAAAAATGATTTTATAATGCTGACTTGTTTTCCACTTAAAGTTGCTGTACCCAAGAACTTTTGATAAGTTATGTTTCGAGTTACCTACCTATTCTAAGGACTAGCACTATACGTGGGTTAAAGCGACGTGAAAGTTAGTGCGAAAATTAACGATACGGCAATTTTTTTTATTATAGTGTACATTTATATATACAGTTTTTTAATGATTTTTGCTAGCAATTATATTCTATATTTTTAAAAAATCGTAAAATCTACTTTCATTACCAAGTTAAGTTTCTTAAATGAGGTTAAATATAGAAATCACTTCTTTTTTGCTGACTCTTTCACTGATTATAATAAGAATAATTTTACTGATGACTAAATATAAGTCTGTATAATGCATGAAGGAATGTACTAACAATATTTACTACTAATAGCTTTATTGATTTTATGACCTCACTGAGCCCTTGAGTTTCTATGTAATTCAAATCCATCGATCAAAAATCAGTAGGTACTAGATCAATCAGCGACAAAAAATGTCCTCACCGAATGAGCGCTCATTTGAACATTTTGTGTGACAATAGTGAAAACAAATTTAAGTATTGCGTTTAAGGTTCAATTTATATTTATTTCAACTAGAATAATTTACCTAAACACAAGTGGTTTTGAGAGAACTTTTTCATGGAATTGTGTATGTGTGCGAAAGTTCTCTTAAAACTGTCACCAATTGTGTTTAGGTAATTGCATTTATGCAAATGCATTTATGCAATGCTTAAAGTTGTTTTCACAAAAAAAATAATAAGCGCCCTCAAATGTTCAAATGAGCGCTCATCCGGTGAGAACAATTTTTGTCGCTGGTTGTGTATCAGTACTTTTTTGATAGATGACTAATACCCTCTATTTTTTACAGCGTTAAAGCAAGAGCGACCACCCATCCGAATGGCGCCACACCCGGCGTTACGTGAACGCGGCAGAGCCATCCCCCCCGGCACCCCGCCTCCGTCCCGCCCAGTAACACTACCTCCTCACGTCAGGGTACGATCACCACTCTCAGTATACTACGAACTGGATATCAAGGTATTGGTCTGCAGGTGTGCTGGCTTGGCAGGAATGGCAATGACAGGTAGGTTCCATGAAGGTCTATCTGTCAAAATGGTTTTGACAACTGTATATTTTTAACATAACTTCAAAAATATCAGTTCTAGGTCTAAAATAAGGTTATTAGTGGTTTAAATTAGCCTAAAGAGATAAGTCTTATGATATCTGTGACTAAGATTTATAAAAAAATATTGATTGCAATCGATTATAAGCTTTCTGCCATCTAAGCTTGTTGGAGGTAAATGAAAATTCAGGTTAGTTAAAAACTATATTTTTTTATTTTTTTTTATGTATACAGATAATTTATTTTTAACCGACTTCCAAAACAGAGGAGGCTCTCAATTCGTCGGAATCTTTTGACGTATATATAGACCTTCATAGGAAGATTTCAATGTTTTAATCTCAGAAGCAGCTTTGCGTTTCAACCGATGCCGCTATTAACTCCACTCCAGGTAAGTAGCGAATAAATAATGCATATTAGTATAGTTCTTAAGTTATTAAATAATAGAAAATTGTTCGCTCATAGATTATAATTAGAAAAATAAACAGCTAGTTGTATGTAGGACTAATACAATCTAAGTATCTTTGTTTAAATAACACTGGTTTTTTTTAAATTTGTGTATTAATATTATATTTATATTATATATCTATACAACGAAAATAAATACTCGAAATATATCGTGCTGCAAATGAAATTAAATAAAGTATTTTACTTAATTTCATTTGCAGCACGTATAATATTTTTCATATGAAAGACCGAAAAGGGCAATTTATAAGTTTAATCTAATACTAAAAAAATACTAGCAGTACCGGCGGTTTTGCCCGCGTTTAAACTTCAGATATAAACATCAGTTTTACAATAATTTATGGAAGTCAGCCCGATTTGTTGACATTTATGATTACTGCTCCGCTCCTTTGGGTAGTAGCATGGTGATATATTATAGCCTTCCTCAATAAACGGGCTATCTAAAGCATTTTTTTAAATCGGATTAATAGTTCCTGAGATTAGCGTGTTCAAACAAACACACAAACTCTGGCTCTTTATAATATCCAAAGCTTTATTCTTTGCTACCACCATTTAACTCTGTTGTTTACGAGATTACCACGAACACATTAACCTATAGGTACCTATATAAAGCAAAACTATAAAAAATGTGTTTATTTAAAAAAATGTATGGGACTCTTCAAAAATAATCAAAAAAGCCCAATTCGAAAGTTTTACTGTAACCATTGTAAAAATCTACATACATACAACTTCTATATCCGTTGGTTTCGTTAAATAATTGTATCCAAATTTTACATACTTACCAAGTCTAATCGATGCCACCAATAGTAGTATTAAGGCGTCGAGATTTAATTGCATAGTGGTTACAAGAGAAGCTAATAAAAGCGTGTTATAAATAATTAATTTTTGTTCACATGCTATGACTAAGCTATGAATTAAGTCTTTTAGGAGAGATTTTTTTTCTCCAAATACGAGTTCCTATATACGAGTACATATAATTACATACTACGGACCTATATATATATAGGAAAAGTACCAATTATGGAATACGTTCCTAATATGGAACACCATAATATTTCTAAAACTAAGCGCCACGAATATTCTAGACGTATGTCATAGTATCCCTCTCGCTACCCGCGTTCGACGGCCAGAGGGAGTGTGGCTTTTGGCAGCACTAAATGCGAGTAAGAGTGCGCGACAATGTTGACGAAATATCCATTGCATATTTACGTAAGCTTTACGTATATGTTCTCTTATTATTCATACATGAATATTTCGATAAAAGTTGGTGAGTATCTAATCGAAGTACGTAGTTTTTAAATGGTATTGTTATTTTATGAATATTTAATAATAATAAAAAGTTATATTTTTTTTCCTCTCGCCATTATATTGTTCGTAATATGGAATATCGTCGAGTTTCTAATATGGAATACTAGTCCATATTAGGATCTCATAAGTTTTTAATGTGGTGACTTATTACTATTTCTCTCTTTTACAAATATATTCATGATCAACATGGATCCGCCAGTAAAAAACCGAAAAGCCTGAAACAAAACCAATATGGAAAATGCTATTGAAACGGTGAAAACCCAAACAATGGGTTATAAGAGAGCTGCACATGTCTTTCATGTAACAACATATAAGTCAGAAAAACAAGCGAATGTAGAAACCAGTGTTGAAGTCTGAATCATCTTCTGATAGAAATACCACCTTTATCTAATGATTATAGTGACGATAAGCCCGCAGTTACTCAACTGTACGATCCAAATGCTGACGCTGGGTGCATTTATTGCTCTGTTTTTCTCAGTGAAGACAAAAAGGGAGAAGAGTGGATTCGGTGCATTGCCTGTAGACAGTGGTGTCACGTTGCGTGGTCCGGATCAGAACATGCAGATTTTATTTGTGATTTTTGCTTGCAGGGTTGATTTAATATTTTGTTTTGATTAACGAGACGTGATCCTATTATGGAATAGGGTATTCCATAATAGGATCACATTTTTGAGAAGCAATTTTTTGGTTGATTTATTTTAGTTAATAATATTACGGAAAGTGTTTATTATTTGATGATTTCATTATTACTTTTCAAGAGTAATTACCACTGCATTTAATTGTAAATCATTAAACTGATTAAAATAAAACTTTTGTACTGGTTTTTTTTCAGAATTTGTTTATGTATTCCATATTCGGTCCTTCTCCTATATATATATATATATATGTATATATTTATATATATTATATATATATATATATATATATATATATATATATATATACATACAGGCAATGATTAGTTTATTATGTATCTAAGTTTCGTATTTGTATTCAGCCCTTTTTTTAACGTCCCACTGCCGGGGGTGGGCTTCCCTTCAGTACGAGGGGAATCAGGCCATAGTCCACCACGCTGGCCAATGCGGGTTGGCAGACTTTACATGTCTTAACTACTATTACTACTATTAAGTACTAAGTATTAAATAACAAGTTTGCGAAAATACATGTGAAGTCCACCAACCCGCACTTGGCTAGCGTGATGAATGTCCTAAGCCCTGGTAGCTTTGAAACCTTAAATAGGGCTGAATACATTGTAAAATCACTAGCAAGTAAATCCTCTAAAAATATTCTAATATGTCTCCATGTAGTATATCATAAATAATGGTAAATTGTTCATAAAATATGACAAACGAGTATACAACGATGTCAAAATAAACCGAGGCAGAGCTACTTGCTGTCAGTACACGCGCGTGTGCGCAGTGTTGGCGTCCTTCGGCTGTGGCGCTAAGTATAAGATTAAGCGATCCTGATTTGGCTTAAAATAACTTTTATAGGTTGATTTATTAATAATCAGATGATATCTTCTAATATATAAATATCTCATGTCACGGTGTTTGTGGTCGCACTCCTCCGAAACGGCTCGACCGATTTTAATGTTTTTTTTTTTATATTTGGTAGGTGTGAGAATAGGTCGTAAAAGATTTTTCACCCTCCTACCCCCACCCTTCATTTTCTAATTGCGATTTTAATATTTTTGTATGAATATTATTATATAAATACACACAGAAACGAACCCGAGCGAAGCCAGAGTGAGTCGCTGTATAACATAAAGCCGAAGAGTTTTTTTGTACATTGAACACGGGCGTAGCCGCGGTCTCCTACTAGTTATTCATAAAATCCGACTATTACATAATGAAACGGTTGGAAAGATTCAGGTGAAATACTAAATTTCATACAGATATTACCTGTAGTACTGATGTGATACTATTATACCTAGGCACCTAGGGCATCTAGAGTACTTAGTAACGGAACAAAGCGAGTTTGCTTGAAAAGAATTAGAATACGTATAATAAGTACCCTAGGTGCCCTAGGTGCAGCTAGTACCGGAACGAAACGAGAGGACGTAAAGTAAGAGACATTTTTTATAAGATAAGAATAAACTCTGTGATTGAAAAAATAACCCTACAATTATTTTTAGTACGTATTCCAATTCTTTTCAAGCAAAATGTAGATTTTTACATTTTTAGATTCTTTTTCAAATTTTTAGTTTTTTTTTATGATTGAATTAATTATTAACTAGTTTTCCCTACGGCTTCTCCCGCGTGGCTAGTTAATAATAATTATAAAATAACCTACGTAGCTCGTACATAGCGTACACAGTCGTAGTTCCAGGGACAATCACCTACATATTACAAATAATAATAAAAACAAAAAATACATATTACAAACAAGATATACATATAGATATTTTCACAATTTCAGTACGAACATATTTTTATCGAGTTATACTATTTTGACACAATATCGAATAGAATATTCAGTATTCACTATTCATTAGTACGCCACACGGGATGTTATTTGTAAATAAAACGCCTCACGCTTTTGCCTTACGATGTAACAATAATTCGCATGATGTCATTCTCATTATTTTTGGACCTCAGCGATGTGATCGTCGCACGTCTATATTTGCTTGCGTATATCATTCCCTATTATATTCTATAACAAAGCGTTACGAGAATATTTTATTAATATACTTTATACATTGTTATTAGATGGGTAGACTAGTTGTGCTCTGCGGTTTTGTTCAAAATACACTACTTTGTGTATTCAAACTTTTAATATTATATTCATACTTGCGAAAGGAAAACAAAAACAAACCTATCCCACATGAACCGTACGTTTTTCCGGGATAAAAAGTAGCCTATATGTTATTCCAGACTATAATCTATCTCTGTGCCAAATTTCATCCAGATCCGTTCAGTCGTTCTGCGTGAAAGAACACACATCCATACTCAAAAACTTTCACATTTATAATATTAGTATAGATATTTATAATTTATATTAGCATTTTAGTAAAATAGGAGTAAAATGAAAAATTTTAGTAGTATTTAGTTTCTTGCCAAGGACGTGCCACTAGCTTTTTACTATAGATCTAAGGTATTTGTTACAATTTCTATTTATAATAAGTTCTATCATTAGCAATGAT